ATGAGCTTGATTGCCTACGGCGCGGCGTTTCAAGAGCAGCGATCCTCTTTAGAGTCGAGTGCGCCAGCCAGCGACGATAGGGCAAGCTCCAGCGTAGAGCCGATGAGTGATGAGCCGATTTCGGGGCACCCGCCAAAGATCATTCCTCGGCATGGGCCAGGGTTCCTTAGTCTTAGTGGTTCTGAGAGGGAAGCGTTGGTCCGGTTGCACCAACTTGGGTCACCCTGATTCGACTCGTCTCGTTCGGTTCTTGCAAGAGCGAAAAGCCGAGCCCCGGATGATCCAAGGAGCACGGGATTTCGAGTGTAGTACTTGCCTTGAGACTCTCCCCGCTCCGAAGATAGCCCGGCCTTCAGCGATTCATGTAGACGGGGATTTTGGCGACACTATTGGAATTGACTGTGCTTTCTGGACCAACTCCGCGGGCCAGACTTTTCGTTTTATGCACGTACTCGATGAGTCCACGTTGTTTCATCAAGGGGCTGAAACGGCAGGCCACGGAGAGGATCAATTCGACCGTCTTTCAGATATGTGACATGTGGTTCAGATGGGCCGGGCCGTGTCAGACCTTGTATGTAGACCCTGCCGGGGAATACACGAGTGAATTTTGGCAGGAACAGCTACAAAAACAAGGGATCCGGGCCCATGTTTCAGCAGGCGAGGCACATTGGCAGTTAGGTAGGGTAGAGGCACATGGACGCATTGTGAAGGGAATGCTCACGCGCATGGACCAACAGGATCCGATCCGAACTCCGGCTGAATTTCGGCAGTGTTTGCGAATGGCTTTTCATGCAAAGAATAGTTTGAGTAGGGTAAAGGGCTTTACTCCTGAGCAGGCGGTTCTAGGGAAGATGTCCAGGCTACCGGCCTCTTTGGTTGGAGACGATAATGCCGCTGCACATACACTTGCCGAGAGTGCCACGTCAGAAGGTCTTTCATTCCGTCAGAGCCTCCAGCGAAGGGAACAGGCCAGGGTTGCATTTATTCAGGCCGATAATGACAGTAGCTATAGGAGGGCTATGTTAAGACGTTCTCGTCCTGGGAGCCAACACTTTGAAGCGGGCGACTGGGTTTTGTACTGGCGCAGGAGCAAAGCTGGAGGGAGGAATGAAAAAGGGCGATGGTTTGGTCCTGCTCAAGTTATTACAGGGGATGCTAAGGTAGTATGGCTACAGCATGTAGGTCAACTCATCAGGGCAGCGCCCGAACAAATTCGTCCTGCGTCCATGCGGGAATGGCGCGCGGTGCAGACTCAGGAATTGGGGCAGGGGCGTTCGAGTGTAGGACTTCCTCGCAGGGTGGTTGATGTTTGTAGGGATGGTTTATTGCCGAATAGGGATGAGATAGAGGTTCAAGGCGACGCACCTGTTGCAGCAAATCCTGAGGCACCTGAGTCCATGGCTGTTGATTCCGGAACCGGAGTAGGAGATGTTGACGTGGGTGAGGGTTTTGAAGTTTTAGGTTCACAGAATGAGGAGTCCCACCAGCCAGAAATGGAAGTGTCTCCAGCTGTCTCCGAAAATGCTCCCGTCCCGGCCGCAATGGAAGTAGACCCTATGGTAGTTCCTATTCCCGATGAGAGTGATGAGGACTTGTTGTTCGGCGATGACTGTTGCTTTTTTACCCATCCTGCGGAAGGGCAGGTGTGGGAACTGACTCTGCATGAGACGGCGGTCCCGGTTGCTGATCTTCCTTCGGAAAGCGAGGCTCTTCAGTACATCCTTCTTGCCTCCGATGAGAAGAAGAGGAGGGTGGAAGTTTACATGCGTGATCTCAGTAGGCAAGAGAGGGAGCTGTTTGACACAGCCAAAACGAAGGAAGTGAAGGCATGGATGGACCACAGAACGGTGCGAAGGGTAGCAGCAGGCACGTTGAGTGATAGTCAGCTCATGCACTGTCGATGGATCTTAACATGGAAGCCTCCGGAGCGTGAGGGTGGCCCTAAACGCGCTAAAGCCAGACTAGTAGTTTTGGGGTTCGAGGACCCTGACTTGCAGACTGTCCCCAATGATGCCCCTACTTTAGCTAAAGATGCCAGACAGCTTCTGTTGCAGAAGATCGTTTCTCAGCGGTGGAAGTTGATCAACTTCGACATCTCCACTGCCTTTCTACAAGGCAAAGGGGATGGACGGGCTTTGGGCATTCGCGCACCTCCAGAAATCAGGGCAGCTTTAGGGATGAGGGACAGGGATCAGTGTCTTCTTGAAGGGGGTGCGTATGGTAGGATAGATGCTCCGTTTCTTTGGTTTCAAACTCTAAAGGGAACCCTAGAAAAACTTGGTTTCGTCCAAAGCCCTTTCGATGCTTGCACGTTTTCGCTAGTGACACAAGATTCTTCAGGAAAAGCCCGGGTTCATGGGGTCCTAGGGGTACACGTGGATGATGGGATAGGTGGTGGCGATCGTTACTTCTCCAGTGTTATTGAAAGGTTACGGGGAATCTACAGTTTCGGGGCTTATGAAGAAATGGACTTCGTTTTCACAGGCATCCACTTCAAGCAGTGGGACGATGGGAGCGTGGAAATGGATCAGCATAAGTATGTGGAGCAGATTCAGCCTATCCATGTAGCGAGACTTCGGAGAGCTGATCCAGAGTCCGAGCTCACAGGCCCTGAAGTCAAGGAGCTTCGCAGGATCAATGGTAGCCTTCAGTATGCTGCTGTTCACACGCGGCCTGATCTAGCAGCTAAGGTGGGTTTTCTTCAGTCGGTTATTCCCAGGGCTAGGGTAAAGCATTAAAGCATCTACTGGAGGCTAACAGGATCTTGTTTGAGGCCAAATCCCATGCAGTTTCTATCATGATAGTGCCCATTGAGGAGTCGAATGTCACCTTTTGCACCTTTTCCGATGCCTCTTTCGCAACAAGCAGGGATCAGAACTCATACCAGGGATGTTTAGTGCTTGCCACTGACTGGCGAATGTTGGCAAATGAAAGGGCCGTGGTGATTCCGATGGCTTGGTCGAGCAAGAAAATCAACCGCGTAGTCAAGAGCACCCTTAGCGCTGAGGTAGTGTCACTCTGTGGGGCCATCGACCGAATGTCATGGATCCGGCTCTGTTGGGAGTGGTTCAAAGACCCCGGAGTTGATATCACTCGTCCCGACGAGATCTTGAAGCGAGCTCCGTGTGCCTCCTTAGTCACTGACTGTAAGAGCGCATATGATATTGCTACCAAGACAGCGGTACCCAGTTGCACGGAACTCCGCACTCAACTCGAATGTCTTCTTTTGCGAGAGCGCTTGCAAGAGAATTGCAAGATGCGTTGGATTCATTCCAAAGCCATGCTGGCGGATTGCCTTACGAAGACCATGGATAGTTCCCTTCTCCGTGAGTGTATTCGTTTAGGGGGTTATGCTCTATTTGATGAACAAAAGGTTCTTGAGGATAGGGCGGGGAAGCGGCAATCGCTGAAATGGCTACGGGATCAGAATTCCGCTCCTTCGGACAAGCCGTCTGAGTGAATGTTTTTACAACTCTAAAATTTTTTTACGAGTGTTAATCCGTCGGCCTCTAAGGTCCCTCTTTCACTCAGACGTCTCGCCAGGAAATCCGAACACCGATCTGCGCGGGCCCTCCAGCTCAAGGGGCGGGAGGGTCGTGGAGCTTGAGGCGAATCCGACAACAGGACAGGGTCCCGGCTACTAGGACAGGGGTCGTTAAAGCGAGGGCGCTAACACATCTTTCATCGAGCAGGGCTCGTTAACATTCTTTCCCTAGGCACGGGGTGTCTAGGAAGGGGTTCGTAGTCATCCGGCCAGTGTGGGTCTCTCCCGACAGGGGGCTGATTCACATGAGGGAGCCTAAACCCGAAAACCTAAACCCTACTCAGCATGAGACCAGGTGCAGGGGGCAAGCTCCCCGCTGGGCTCAGCGTTTGCCACGTGTCCTGAACGGTACCTGTTTTCTGCACGGGTTTAAGGCTTGTGGCTGTTGCCCTCTTTGACCCAAGTGGCGAATGCCCTGACTCTTGAAGTGTAATTCCGTACCCTATCTGATTCTGTGTACTGCCAGGTGTCGAGCTCTTAGTTTGTGGTGCATTCTGCTGCTTGGGGTCCAAGACCCAGCGTTTAGGCCGGCGCTGAAGGCGTGGAAGCCACACGCTGTACATGTGCAGGGGTCTGGGATTCAAAACAGCATTTGATCGTGGCTGTTGCGTTCAGGGTTTGAGTTGTGGGTTTGGGGTCTATGATTGGGAGCATGGTGCTTAGGGTTTAGGGTATGCGTTCTACGGCTTGGGGCTTAAAGCTGCTTGAATTTGGAGACAAGGTGCTATAGGCAAGAAGTCGGTTGTTGGCACTCGTCACTGTACCACCAAAGACCTCGTCCCGAAACTTTGCAGGGCTTTTAAGCATAGGGTCCTTTGCAAGGTTTAGGGTTTTAGGGCCATACCTTCCCCTGTGATGCTGCACGCCTTCAGCTTGTTGCAAATGACCTGGCGCCTCTAAACCCCAAAACCCCAAACCCCCTGATGAAAACCCCAAAACCACTATGAACCCAACACTGAGCCACTGAGCCCTGCGCAAGCATGAGGTCGAGCTCCTTTGCCCACACGGCCGTGTGCTGTCGAATCACAAAACTGGCGCTGAAAGGGGCAGTCGCGCGGAGCGTCCAGGTTGCGTTGTGCGGGAAGAAAGCATGAAGGCGATTCTTCGGGCTGCTATCCATGATGCCACCGAAGGCCTGGATCAAAATTCGGCTGTTGCTCCATGAGTTCTTCCCTGAATGCACAAGCCAGCTAGCTTCAGACACTATGGACAGTAAACCATCATCGACTTGGGTTGCAAGGCAAAGAACTAGCATGGCGACATTGCCGTCAATGCTGGCGGCCACGGCTGAATGAAAGCCTGGGCTGTAGGCTGATACCGAAAACTGTCTATGACTCGACTCTTATCTTCAAGAAGAGCGAAAATTCAACAATCCTAAACCATCCTAAACCCAAACCCTGAAACGCTGAACTTGAACCCGAAAACAACAACTTCCAGTCAAAACCCAAGTACGCATCATAAATGGACCAAGGCTGGGATTTGTCACGCTGAATTGTGACCAGACGTGCTCGGAGGCTTCCTCCTTCAAGAGCCAGACCTCTCTGGACTCGGACTGTGTAGCGGTCTGTCCTCCAGGGTCCACTCTCTTTGTGTTGTCCCTTTTGGGGATCTAACCGGGGCTGACGGATTCCCGGACAAAGCCTGCGTAAACCCAAGAAGATTGCGAGATGGCCCATATGTCCTCCGAAAACGAGGCAGCCGCCATCACTCTCCGACCAGACCATCGTGTGCCAATATCGTGGGCCTTCACCGGAAGTCTGGAAGCTCATGATGTGCTTAGGAGCGTAGGGCGAGATAATATCGCCTAAAGCTTACTCCACCAATTGCAATGATCGATGTCAGGCCAGAACGGCACGGCACATGAGCTATATATGAGCGAGTGTTTTTCGGGTAACAGACCGTACGGTGGAGGCTTCCTCTTGGAGGTACTTTAATGATTTAAAGTCAGGGGCTCACATCCGAAGCCTGGGCCAGGGACCGTTGGAGTGATGTCCGTCCAGGTACCCATGCTTGGGTCATATTCCCAGACGTCCTCCAATCCATTGCCACCTCACGAAGTCATGGCGATCTACGCAGAAAATCTACGGTGTTCCGAACACAGCTTATCCAAGGAGCTTTTACAGTCTTCAAACAGCCCTGACATACCTTACAGCTTCTCGCAGTTATGCCTCACACAAAGCTTGTGTAAGCGGTATACCCGCCTGGTGACTACCCTGCCAAGCCCCCCAAGTTTGGCGTTGAGGGTTTAAGCAGATCTCCTGCCTTCATCTCGTCCGCCGAACAGGAGAGTGGGCGTAGCAGTTTCGGCATTGCTGCGACACATGCGGGCGTCGGACCGCGGCGGGGGGAGGATGCCGGCGGAGAGATTTGTCCATGTTCCTGTTACCTCCAAGACTGCAGAAAAAGCTACCGGGAATGACGAGGGAAGGGGCTTATAAACTTATAGGGATGTGTGTAGGTCATTGGGGATCCAAGCCTTCCTCACTACCAGCAAGGATAGAACAACTTTGACAGCGTAGTTTGGTTCTTTGGCCACGGCCTGCAACACACCCCTGGAGCAAGTAAGCCCAACCGCCTCAAATTGTACCCCTCACTAAGAGATCTCAAACAAAAAAGAACCCTGCAAGACTGTTGAAAATGGCCACACTGTCCAAGGGACTGCCAGGGCAGTCGTGGTGCTGGTTGTTGGAGTCGAGGTCGTCGTGACGTTGCTCAGACTTGTGGTGATGGCATTCGTGGTACTCGCGGTGGTACTGATGATGGTGCTGTTCGGCGGTGACGTGGTTGTTGGAGTCGAGGTCGTCGTGACGTTGCTCAGACTTGTGGTGCTGGCATTCGTGGTACTCGCGGTGGTACTGATGATGGTGCTGTTCGGCGGTGACGTGGCTGCTGGAGCCGAGGTCGTCGTGACATTGCTCAGGCTTGTGGTGCTGGCATTCGAGCTCGTGGTACTTACGGTGGTACTGGTGGTGGTGGTGGCCGGCGGCAAGGTGAAGACGGACAACCTTACTGGTGCTTGCTTAGTCGGGAAGTAAGCAAAGGATTATATAGGGATGTAGGGACTACTGGAGCGGTCCATTCCTCCACTCCTTATGAATCGCCGGTAAGAAACGTCGTTGTGGTTGTTGTCGTTGGCAAGCTGAGTGCAGCTGCCTGCAGTTTTGGATTGCCAAGGCCGCTATCAGGTGATTCAGTGATGCGGCATGATCCCGCGTGACCACGTGTGCATACCCCAGCATACCAAGATCCTTACTATAGACACCTGCAAGAGATTAGCACTATTTGTTGGACGCTCCCACGTCTTGTCCCGAGGCTGAGTGTGGTTATCGCACCTTAACCCCGACCCGGAACCCTGAACCCAAACCCTAAGCAACCAACGGACCACCATGTTTGAGCTCGGTCGGACGTTCATCTCTGGGTTCTCGCAATAAGGAGGGGGCTGTGTTATCTTCGAGCCCTTGAGGACATCCGACCCGTTGCTTGGCACACTTAGGCCTTGGTAAGAACTGGGGGTCCATTGTGGTTCTCCCAGCCACCTGTGAACAGATGAGAGCCACGCAGGAGAATACCAAATAGATAAGGGTCGAAGGTCCTACAGGTAGTGCCCAAGGAGGACTCAGTCTCAGTCTCCCGCCTCGTAAGACCAGAACGTCTTGGAGGACTCTTTGAACTGAGCCAAGTACATCCGTCTTTCGAACGAATCCCACACAGCAACGTCGTCTCTGTCTTGCTCTGGTTGTGGGTTCGTCGCATTCTCGAGCCATACACCATCCCCATCATCTGGAATCCAATACCTCATGTGTTCTAAGCTCAAGGCTGCCTACTTGGGTAGTCATGAGGAGAGAATTATGCATACGGCTGAAGTTATTACCGTCTCGGGTACCTGAGACAGCTGCAACCCACCAGCCCCCCTTTGCATGAAACTCTAAGAGGTCAGATCCGATCCAGATACCACGTCGCCACTGAGGGAGAGCCAGGATCTGGAACATAGCCGCCGAATGCCTGACTGCGCGAATAACTCCCGCAAGCTTCAAGGGCTACCACTATCCATCCGGGAGCCGGTGGTTAGGCTCTGGGGTGTAGTGTTGTTTAGGGTTTAAGGCTTAGGCACCCCAAACCCTGATTCCAAAAGCCGTGCTTTTCCGGAGATGGGGCAAATTCTGAACATCTCCGCACATGATCCCTGGAAGGACCCCACATCCTTCTCTAAACCATTGAAAAACCCTCGCGGTCTAAGGACGATCATCGCAGCACCGGTCCAGACAGCTACGTGCAGCCATCTTTCCGGAGGGGCCCCGGTGACCTCAGTCCACGGGAGCTATCACCGTATGCAGGATGCAAAAGAATCTTTCTGGTAAAAGAAATAAACCAAAACCATCAAGGAGTCTACAGCTCAATCCTAAGCTTCAGACCCCAAGCCCTAGACCCTTCATCTAGTTATAGGAGCAAACACAGACCATCCAACTCCTCACTCATAAGCCCTGAACCCTAAACCCCAAGCACTCAACCCCAGACCCTAAGCCCCGAACCCGAAGCCGTAAGCCCTAAACCCCAACTGCTAGACCCCCAAACCGAACAATTTGACCCAGTCACTGTTGCAGGTGCCAGCTGTCGCCAGGAATCTTGATTTGGGTCATAAGCCAACCTACGGTCTTGAGCATTGAGGGTTTAGGGTCAGGGGAGTTGAAGCACGTGCACCCAGCAGCCCCAAGAAAGGGATAAACATGTGCCACTGAACAGCCTAGCAGCAGCTCGTTTGAGTATCCAACTTGCCATCCACGCCAGCCACCGAAGACCTGAATCAATCAAGAACCGGGTCCTAAAGTGAATAACTGCGACTGCAACTTGACCAAACCCGAGCTGCCTGGGCCCCCTGCCAACATCCAGCCAAGCTCACCAGCCCATACTGCCGCGTG